GTACTTAGAGGCTATCAGGCAGGCAAGTGGTTAGGGACGATCAGGCAGGCAGGCAGGCAAGCGGTTAGGAGCCAGTGGTCCAGAATTGCGAGAGGGATGTCTGACTGCCGGTTTAGGCCTGCAGGATCAGGCCTAAACCGGCAGTCAGAGATCCCCTGAGGGATCCCGGATTGTGAGAGGCTGCAGGGTGGGCTGAGGGATCCTCCCCACCCCCCCACCCCCATGCACGAATTTCGTGCACGGCAGAAAAAAAGTTCCCCACCCCTGCTATATCAATCTATTATAGCAGAGGTGATGTGACAGAGAGGTTTTGGGAAAATATTTCCTTTTTATAATTTTATCTTGATTCTTCTTTTTATTTGGTGAAAAAAAATCTACTTAGGTCAATGCTTTGTCATTTTTAAACATTAAATTTTTGAATAAATACTTCTTGGTCTCAGCCAGACTTCTTGCAGTCATCAGTAGCAGAAGACTGAGTCACTTTCTGCCTCTGGAGCATGCCAAAATAGCTTCTGAGTCAGTGACAGCCGTTGCCTATGTGTGTAGTAAAGGATTTTTTCTTTATAAATAAGTCAAATTACTTCCCAAAAAAAGTGTTAGGAAAGAAATGAGATTAATCTGCTGGGGTAAAGTTAGGTTTTAATAATACTCTCAAAAATGATTTTTCTAACATCTTATTCCATTGAAATTATTTACCAAATCAAATAAATACTATCAGTCATTACCATGTTTCTTTTTTTTAATTTCTTTATTGATTAAGGTATTACATATGTGTCCTTATCCCCCCATTGCCCCCCTCCCCCCACTCATGCCCTCATCCCCCTGGTGTCTGTGTCCATTGGTTGGGTTTATATGCATGCATACAAGTCCTTTGGTTGATCTCGCCCCCTTACCTCCACCCTCCCCTACCTTCCCTCTGAGGTTTGACCGTCTGATCGATGCTTCTCTGTCTCTGGATCTGTTTTTGCCTCTGAGGCCACTGACAAAACCATTTCTTGCTTAAACTCTTCCCTTGGCATTCATTGCTTCCCTCCCAGGTAGATAAGTTTCTCTCAATGTACATATTTTCTTTTGTAGATTTCCTTTGTAGATTTGTTCTTCTGCTCACGCCATAAATATGGCATTAGTTTCTCACTCTATACTGTCTGAATGAACTCATTCATATCCTGTCTTCAGCAACCATTATATTCTGATGATTCCTGAATACATAGTATCAACCCAGATGCTCTACTGAACTTATTGGACCATGCATTTCAACTGCTTGTTATACATTCCCACCTGGATGAACTTCCAAGTCAGTATAAACCTATTCCATAAACCTAAAACCATTTTCTATGTTTTGGAATGGCATCTGGGATACACTCTTGGGTATAGTCCTCTGCTCACTTTTCTCCATCACTTCCTGTCCAATGAGTTATCAGATTCTGTTATCTCTACTTATTAAATACTAGAGGCCCGGTGCATGAAAATTCATGCTCTGGAGGGAGTTCCCTCAGCCAGACCTGCCCCCTCTCACAGTCCGGGAGCCCTCAAGGGCGGGAGGCGACCTGGCGGTCAGGGGAAGGTGACGCCCCATCACACCTCTGCTGCTGCCACTGCCTGCAGCGCAAGCCTTGGCCGGACCTGGTTACCTGAGCCTCGGGCAGCCCTGGGTAGCTGGGGGGCTGAGGGACAGAGGGATTCGGGAGGCAGGTGCGTGGCAAGGTGGCCCGGCCATACTGCATGCCTGCTGCCCCAGTGGGGCTGAGGGGACTGGGCACTGCCATCTTGTGGCTGTGGGCACCACCATCATTGAGGGTGTGGCAGTCAGTTAGCATATTCCCTCCTTATTGGCTGTGGGCACCGCCATATTTGTGACAGTGTGAGGGTCAATTAGCATATTCCCTCTTTATTAGGTAGGATATGATTCATTATACATGCTCCACTGCTACTGCCCTGACTTAGTGTAGGTCCTTATAATTTTTTCCTAGATTTCTGCTATACCTTCCTTTCCTCCTACACAGCCTATTGTAACAGTTTCACACTTTCCCCAAATAACCCTCTATTCTGCCTCCAAAATCATCTTTCTAAAACAATTATAATGAATTATGTTATTCCCTTTCTTCTTCAGAACAAAGTCCAAAATTCTTCACCTTATCATCCAAGGCCCTTCTGTGATCTGGCTCCTGAATTTGCAATGTTATCTCCCACTCTTCCTCTTCAAACAGCTCTCAGATTCAATTCCCACAATGCTCTTTGCTCAGTTTCCTACTTTCTTTTGCCCATATTTTTCTCCCTACCTGGAGACCCTTCTCTTCTACATCTTCCACTGGCTGGTCCCTAATTTGCTTTCAGGATTCTAACCACCTGTTATTTCTCCTAGAATTTCCCTGAGTCTTCCCAGACTCAATCAAGGCCCCCTTGCTCTCCTGCATCACCCTTGCCTTTGTCAATCACACCACTATTACTCTGAGTTATAATCATGTTCCTCTTTTCTGTCTGTCTCGCCAGTGTTAAAGACAGAAACAGCATCTTTCCAATCTTTATGCCTAGTTTCAAACATAATGCTTCATCCCAAATAGGTAAATGATAGAAATTTAAATTATGGCTTTGATATGAAAAGAACTATGCCACCTTAGACGACTACTAGTAAACATCAAGTCTTTGTTCTTATTTTAATAAGTCATCAAGTATATATTAGGATTGTACTTATTGTGCTAATGCTTTATTGTGGTCCTCAAAGTTCATACTTTGTGTCAGAAGCTACTGAGGTATTTAATGCTCTGCCGTTGTTGTAGATTTAATGTTTTAATACATGGCAATTTCTACAGAAGCAAACCTATATATTTTATGAGAACTCTGGAAGATAGGAGAACCTAGAAAGTCATACAGGCCATGTCTTTACTGTACTCTTAATTTTTTTAAGCAGTAAGGATTGCACAGTTTGTAACAGGGCTTTTGTCAAAATTATCAGGTCAAGTCACATAAAAAGAGAGGGTATTTTTCTTGTTAAACACAATTAGGGGCCATCCATCACTCTCAATGTGAAGGTTTCCATTTTGATCAGCGTCTCAAACGTACTAAGTTCCCTGATTGTTATCATCAATGGGAATTTGATCTCAGTGTTCTCATCTTTGTTTCAGTATGAAGTAATGAACGATATTACAGTTAATTGGAAAAAAATTGCACTTCTGGACCAGGCATGTTCAAGTCAATTTAACTTTGTACATTTATCACAGATAAACTCCCTCAAAGACTGAATAAATAAAGCTATTTTCTGAGTTGGATTTCATTCTGTTAAATGGAAAGAGTATACTTTCTGCTATAAATATTGGTAATTTCATAAGTTATTTCAGCAAAATTTGTCTTTTATAATAACAGTGTTTCATGATTTCTAGTCCTTAATAATTCCAGAGTACAAAACAGATTGTAAAAAAAAGGGTAAAATAAATGCAAATAGGTAAGTATAAGTCAAATCTGTTTTTTAAAGAACAAATGAAATAACTTATGTAATTTTATCATATTTTAAAAATTGCTCAGAAATTAACATAAGCCCTAGGATAAACAATATATAGCATAATAAGTCAAATATTTAATTTTATATAATGCTCTCTATAGAAAGTTATAACATTAAGAAAGGTATAGGTAATAAAAATGTATCAGGGAAGATAGTGAAAAATGTTAATCTTTAATACATCTGATTAATTGAACCTAATTTGCTATGAGTTTGCCATTTTCCATATATGTGAAATAATAATCTGTTATATATATATCTCTCTAATAACATATATGAAATATATTTTGGACACATATACTTGACAAATACATATTTGTTGGTATATAACATATATAAGAAATGTATACATTTCTACCATTCACATGAAGATGGGACTATGTGAAGTGTATGGAGAGAAGATAACCTTTTCTGCCACTGACCTTGAGATGATTAACAGAATCAGGAAATAAATATCTTTCTCCCTTGAGATTTAAGAAATTAAGCTTGCTTTGGTTTTGTTTTTTAAATTGGTCACTTGTAGGTGTACTTCAGTGGATTCTAAGGGAGAATATATGATGTTATTAAATAGCTCGGTGGAAAGTGATTGATATTCTAAGACACTAGTTTTCCTCAATACCTATAATAAAAGATTTCTTCCACTCTCATTGTTTTAGCTACATTCAAATACAAATAATTTCTAAATTTATATTTCTAGCTCAATGTTTCTCCATTATTCTAATTTACATATCCAACTACTATCTGGATATTTCAGAGTTCCCTCAAATATATCCAAACTTACTATTTATTCTCTAGTCTATTTCTTCTGCTTTATTTTATCACATTAATGATATTACCATCATCCATTATTCAAGTAAAATACTGGAAAATCTATTTGCAACTTTCTCCTCTTACCTACACAATCATTTGCCAAATTTCTTTGATTTTACTTTTTAAATATTTCTTTGATGCATTCTGTTCTCTCTATTCCTACCAGTTTATGGTTATGTCTTAAAGAACTGAGGTTCCTCAACAAACTGATTATATTCTGCTTGGAAATTATCTCTTTTTCTCATAGTGCATTTTTCTTGATCTTCCAATTGCCTGGTGTACTCCCTTAATCTTTTCTGTCATTGCACTGTGAGCTTGTTTCTCCTATTGACTTATGAGATTCCTGTAAGGGCAAGGGTTTTGTATTACCTACCTTTATAACCCTAGCATTTTAATGACCAATACATAAGTAGTTCTCAATAAATGAGTGTTACATGAGTGAGTGTTGGACAGTTGATTCAATTAATTAATTCCAAGAATGCTAAATCACAGTGACTATTTTTAACACTTTCCAAAATGCTGATTTTTAATGTACAATGTATTAAAATTGAAAATATTATATTATCCAACTCACGTTTATTTTAAAATTTCTATTTATTTTTAACATTTTTAGCACAAGTGATTTTGTGATCATTTTATTCTTTCATTTGTTTTGTAGGTTTTAGAAACTTACATATTGATGACCAGATAACTCTCATTCAGTATTCTTGGATGAGCTTAATGGTGTTTGGACTAGGGTGGAGATCCTATAAACATGTCAGTGGGAAGATGCTGTATTTTGCACCTGATCTAATAATAAATGAGTAAGTAGTAACTTGACTTTTGTAGTTCTTATTAGCATAAGTATGTATGCAGGATCATCTTGAAAATTACATTTCAACAGATAATCATACATTTAGTGTGCTAATAATTTTCTTGAAAGATTTCTCAGAATTGCCTCCTACCAATTGATATTATCTCATATCAATTATAGCTTGACAATATTAATATAATTATACCATCTTATCAGTTAATTTGATATATGGAGAGTTTTCATTTTGTTTCAATGTATAGTAATTATTTGAAATGCAATTTTTTTAAACTTCAGGAATGTATCAAGAAATATACTTAAAGACAAAATTAAATGTTTATTTATCAAATTAAAATTTCTTTGGTGCTAATGAAGATAATGAAGTAAATTATAAATAATTTGCAGAAATATATTGATTTACCTTCAAAAGGTAAAGATATCTCTCATTAGAGGAAAAACAACACTGAGGATTTATTTTTAAAATTGAAAGATAAATATTTTAATTTGCTTGATTATATTTAAATTTCTGTAATTAATGTTCTACATATAATCTTTAAATCAGAATCTTTTCATGGAAATATTTATACTATTTTAATGGTGAATGTTGACTCAGAACTATATAACATAACTTATATAAATCTTGACAGCTTATAGTTAACTTTTGTATATTGTAATTCATTGTATATCCTACTATCCTTTGAAATTGATAAGGAATTAATATCCTTTATTTTACAGCTCAGGAAACTGAGGTTCAGAAGAATTGCATAGCATACCTAAGGATCTGAGTGACAATCTCAATTAATCTTCACTCTTCTGAGTCAAAATCTAGTCTTCATTATTCTTGTTAGCATCATGCGATTAATGTGAATATTTTAAAACAGTACACGGTTGAGAAAATAGTTTTTAAAAATGTCCTCAGCCTTCAGAATTTGTGTTTGACTTTGTCAATTATTTAATTCTTCCTGATGTTCTTTTTTCTGTATCACCATACATTTCTCCTAGAATAGTTCACAGTGTAACTAGTACATACTGAATGCTCTGAATTGCACCACTGAACTATTCTATACTCTACTTTCTGTGATGAAAATCCATTCTCCTATTGGATTGCACACAAAAATTCATATTTTTTTTTCACAGAAAGAGTCCATCAGTAAATAAATTATTTCCTGAGCATTCCTTAGTTCCACATTTTCAACTCCTACAACTTCTTGGTGTGATGATAAAAAAAAAGAAATGTTAACCTTGGTCAATGGGTATTTAATATGATTTCCTAACTTTAAAATTTTTTAACCTCAGAAATTCAGCATTATGAAAAAATTTTGATGTTTAAAATTCCAAATATTATTGTTTCTTTATGAAAAGTCATTTTTAATAATAAATAAGGTAATTACTAAATCTCATTCTGTAATAAATTACATAAACTGGCTAATATATATGTGTGAATTTTTTCCCCTGTTACTTTTTCTTCTGGGTGTTGTGTATGATGGAAGACAGCGGATGAAGGAATTATCATTCTATTCATTATGCCTTACCATGTGGCAGATTCCACAGGAGTTTGTGAAGCTTCAACTTAGCCATGAAGAGTTCCTCTGTATGAAAGTATTGCTACTCCTTAATACAAGTGAGTATAAGTAACGTAATATAAAATACTTACTTTTTTATTTTTTTATTCATTAGGAAAGTTTCAAACAGCTATATGATCATATGATTATACAGGAGGTATGAATCTTCTATTGTAACTGCAAAGGAGAAACACCCATTCTACTGTTATAGATGTTAATAAAGTTTCATCCTATTTCTCAGGTTTTACTTAACACATAATACTAAAGTAACCTATCAGTTCAACCAATTCCTTTTTTTTATAAAACATTAAATGGTTTTTTAAAAAATATATTTTATTGATTTTTTACAGAGAGGAAGAGAGAGGGATAGAGAGTTAGAGACATCCATGAGAGAGAAACATCGATCAGCTGCCTCCTGCACACCTCCTACTGGGGATGTGCCTGCAACCAAGGTACATGCCCTTGCCTGGAATCGAACCTGGGACCTTTCAATCCACATGCTGATGCTCTACCCACTGAGCCAAACCAGTTAGGGCTTAAATGACTTTTTTATGTTAGTTTTTAAATTATTATAAACTAATTAATATTGCATAGACACAAACTATGCTTCTCTCTACCAAATGATTTTTTTATGTTCACACATTTAAGTTATTATAAACATTTAAGTTATTATTGCATAGACACAAACTATGCTTCTCTCTACCCACCCCACCAAGGATTTACTATATAAACTACATAATTTTGTTTGGAATCGTTCTCTATGTTAGGATAGGCTGTTGTAATAACTACCAAGAACAGCAGCATAATACAATAGCAGTTTATCGCTCACAACCATAGTCCAGTAGGTTAGCAAGAAAACCCAGGCTCCTTTCCCAAAGGGACACCACCCTCTCCTAGCAGCTTGGAGTGTGCCACCGGGTCTGACTAGAAAATGAACACGGAGTGAGAAAGGTTTGGAGGGGAAACCTGGACGTACCATAGGTCATTTCCGCCCACTTCCCATGGCCCACCTTAACTGCAGGAGAGGCTGGGAAATACACCTGAGCTCTATACTCAGAAGAAAAAGAAAATGGTATATTAGGAAGCATAGCTTTGGTCACCAGGAAGTAGGGGCATTTTATTTAATTCTCTCTCTTTTTTTTGTACACAAAGAACAGTGTACCTCTGTCTCAGTGGATCCTCAAGGGTTTGGGTGAGAAAATTTTTAAAACCGCTTTTACCTTTTACCCCTTTCTGTGCTCTTTCCATGCACAGGTAAGCTCAACTTGAGTGTTTGAATCGAGCCTTCATTCATAGTGATCTGAAAGAGAGCAACAGAAAGCTAAGGTCGAGGTAGAAGGTGAGCCACAGGTCTTCTCCGCAGTATCTTTGCAGGAACTTCTGTCTAGTGCACACATCTCAAACAGGAGTAACCTATCGAGAGTAAAGGCAGAAAAGCTAAACCCTTAGACAAGTCAGGGGCTGATTCAGGATCTGAGGATGTATAGCCTATTTTCCCCCTGGAAAACCCACTGGAGCAAAGACCTTCAAGCCTAATTTGATGAAGTGCATAAAGTGGACTAAGGGCATTGATATGAGCCTGGCCAAAAGAGTCAGATGGCATAAATTTAATATTACAGCAGTTAGCTTCTGCCCTTCTCGACAGAATGAATCAGTTCTGCCATAGATGGTCTTATATTAGCTCCCAAATTACTTATTATTAACATAATTATGTATTTATGGATAGACTCCATTATGGCCAAAAAATCCCAAAATCTCAGTAGCTTAACAACAACAACAAAATGCTGAGTATTTGTTCTTCCCACTACATGTTTAGTGCAAATCAACAAGAGGGCTCTGCTCATTATTCTCACCTGGCGCCCAAGCAAATGGAGGCTGTATCTTGGCACATACTCCCACAGTCACTAGAGCCATGGAAAGGAAGGGAATAAATAGGTATGCATTACGAAAATTTGGAGCCAGGGGAGGGAATTTAGAAAGCTACAATAATTAATACAGTGTGAGAAAAGAATAGATATGTTGAACTGTTATTCAAGTCTGACTAGGATATATTAGAACTTAATATACCATGATATGAACATCACAAATCAATGAGTGTGGAATAAACATTGTTAGAAAAATACTGTATATTTTGGAAAAACTTGGTTTGGATATTTATCTAGAAATTATGTTCTAAGATAATACCAGATAATTAACTTAAATGTGAACACTTAAGTTGTTAAAAACAAACTAAAATAGAAATAATTTTGAAATCTTAAATAAGGAATATCTTTTAAAAATAAATGCAGTGATCCCTGGCTGGTGTGGCTCAGTTGGTTGGGCATTGCACTGAAAGGTTGTTGGTTTGATTCCTGGTCAGGGCACATGCCTGGATTGCCAGCTCTATCCTTAAGAGGCGGGTATGTGTGTGCAGCAGGCAGCCAAAAACTCTTTCTCTCCCTCCCCCTGCCTTCCCCTTTTTCTAAAAATCAATTTTAAAAAACCTTTTTAAAAATGCAATAAGTAAGTTGGCAAAAGGAAAGTTTGACGATTGGATGCACAAGAATTGAAGCCACCCATTTTCCATTATAAACTAAAATACGAATCTTCAGGAAAATATGGCAGGTTGAACACATACATTTTTCCATTGGTTCCTCTAAAACTACACTAAAATATTAGCAATGAGATCTTTAAAAATAAAAATGAAAAGAGAGTGAGAGAGGAATCAATAGCAATAAAATGTTGTAAGTTAGCAAGCACAACCAATTTAGCATACCTAAGCCAGAAGTAAGAAAATTCAAGAAGCACCTTTATTTGTATCACTGAACCTCTGGCATGTTGTTCAATTGGTGACATTTATGAGTTTTTGAAAGGAGAGTGAAGGTAGAGTTAAAAATGGAGTTCTGTTGAAAGTCAGTTTCCAAATATCACCAAGCCATGCCAATTATTTCTCACCAACTGAGACAGAGATTGTAAATTATTTCCTGAAGAGGATATAACAGAAGAAAGCTGTATTGGTGAACCACAGGTACTGTTGAGGGTGAGGGTTTCCATGTTGAAAACAGATTAAGATTATTTGCCAAATATTGAGACAGCATACTTCTCCCACCTGTCTCCCAGAACCTTGCCTTCCAAATTTATATCCTCCAGATATGGAAAATGAAAATTTCTTCTCTGCAGAATCTGTTCAGCCAGAAAGAAAAATAACTAAATAATAGCAGGGATTTCTCTTTGAAATAGCTCAGCTAGATTTCCTGCAATAAAGTTCACAGTCAGTGAGCACTACCCATTCAAATATAACTATCAATCAGCTCTTTAGTTTTCTGCTCTTGAATATAAATAAACAATGAGGAATACTTTTGACATCAAAGACAAAGACAAAACAGAAAAAAAAAAAGAACTTGAAGGAAATAGAGACCATGGAGACAAAAACTTCAGAAAAATAGAAAAGGTAACCCCTCCTTAGAAAGATCAGAGAACATATTGTACCCCATGAAATTAAGAACTGGATACTATGAAAAAAGAATAATACGAAAAGGAAAGAGCCCTTGAAAACTAAAATTATTGATATGTATGTGAAGAATTTAAAAGTAGAAGCATTGGAAGACAAAGTTGAAAAATGTCTTCAAAGTAGGGCAAAATACTAAAATTTGTGGGAAATCAGAATCAAGAAGGAGATCAGACACCCAAATTGTTAAAGATCTAGCAAGAGAAAATAGTAAAATACAAAAGAAATCAACCAGGGCATCTTACAAGTGGCAACAGGACCTATAGATTTAAGGAAAAAGTTATAGGTAAACTGACAATGGAAATAAGAGACTTAGCCATAAGAACAGGAAGTTGTGCCTACAATCTAGATATATGAATTAAAGATTTCAGAGGTAAATATCTAAATTACTAGTTAACATATAATGCCGGGGTCCAACCCCAGCAGGTCCAGGGGTTCCCCAAAGGTGTGGATGGAGTCGGCGAAGAAGGAATGACACGGAGACAGCGTTCAGTTGATCAGCAGCCTAGCCAGGATCTCCAGCCAAGTTCTGGTCTGGATCTCCAGAGAAGTTCTGCCGTTTGTCATGTTACATCCGTATTTATACCAGTTGATTTTAATCCTGTCAATTTCTATTACAAAGGTTAGGGCGTTTCTTATCTCCATTCCAGGGAGTAAAG